GTATGTGATAAGATCTATAAATGGAATGCTACCTAAATTAGTGGTTAGATATAATGGTAAATTTATACAAACATTTAAAAATAAATGATTGAACTGTGATAATCATGTGTATTAACCCTTATGCAAATATCTGACTAAACAAGTATTAATACTTGAATAAACAATAGAATAAGAAGGCTATGATAATATTGACATACTTGTAGTTGTAAGGACTAAACTGTATGTTGTACTATTTTCTCTGAATGCTTGGAATTATTTTTATACTTATTAAAAATATTTACACCTTGCTTACTTTGTTGCTCGTGAGGAGATCCATTTGGACTTGCTCGGAGAAAATGATCTCCAAGCAAGCAGTCTGCTGCATTGTGCACCCACTGCTGCATTGTGGTGTGTGCCCACCCCGCCTTGCCTTGCCTCCCCTTGCTATGCCCGTGCTCCCTGCCTCATTCCCCGCCAGCAGCACCTGTCCAGCCTGTGCACCTCACCAGCACCTTTCAACTGGTCCCCTGGTGAAAAAGTTTAAGGATCCCTGGCTTATTGGGAGATCTAGGGAGGAGGTCTGCACCTGGGTCTGCTGTTAATGCCTCCTTGAGAGAGGGAGTGGTACCAGCCCCTTTAAGGGCAGGTGTTAACACACCTAAAGAAGCCAGGCCTGGACCCAAGTGATGTGAATAATTTTAGACCAATAGCCAATATCCCCTTCCTGAGCAAGGTGACTGAGCGGGTGGTAGGCTGGCAACTCCAGGCAAATTTGGAGGAAACTGATTATCCAGATTCATTTCCATTGTGTTTTCGACCTGGGTTTGGAATGGACACTGCCTTCGTTGCCCTGTGGGATGACTTTTGCCAGGAGAGAGATGGGGGAGTGTGACCCTGTTGATTCTCTTGGATCTCTCAGTGGCTTTCAATGCCATCGACCATGGTATTCTTCTGGAATGGCTCGCTAGGTTGGGAGAAAGGCGCACCACTCTGTGATGGTTCCACTCCTAACGGGCTGACTAGTTCCAGATGGTGATACTGGGGGATTGTTGCTCTGCACCATGGCAATTGTGTCATGGAGCTCTACACGGTTTGATTTTGTCCCCCATGCTTTTTATCATCTACATGAAACCTCTGGGTGAGGTCATCTGGAGGTGTGGGCTCTACCTCACTTTTTCATCTGATCCAGGTGAGGCAGTAGCTGTCCTGATCCGGTGCCTGAACTCGGTAATGAGCTGGATGAGGGCCAATAAACTGAAGCTGAATCCAGATAAGATGGAGGTCCTGTTGGTAGGCAATTTTCAACCCATCCTGGACAGGGTTGCATGCCCCATAAAGGAGAGGGTTTGTCGCTTAGGGATGATCTTGGACCCTGAGCTTCCCCTGGTTTCTCAGGTGGACTTGGTGGCCAGGAGCACCTTCTGTCAGCTTCAGCTGATTTCTCAGCTATGTTCCGACTTGGGTGAGCAAAGACTTGTCACAGTGACCCATGTGCTAGTAACCTCTCACCTGGATTACTGCAATGTGCTCTACTGGGGGCTACCTTTTAAAATGGTCCAACGTTTCAACTAATACAGAACAGGGCAGTGCAGCTGCTTTCAAGGACTGGCTGGCAACATATTACCCTGGTCCTCTATCAGCTACAGTAACTCCCTGTTCCTGTCTAGGCCCATTTCAAAGTGTTGTCTTTTGACATATATACCCCTAAATGGCTTGGGACCAGGGTACCTGAGAGAGCACCTTTCTCCATATATTCCTACCTGTCCACTTAAATCCTCTTTGGAAGTCCTTCTCTGAGTGCCCTCCCCTTGTGAGATCAAAGAGGAAAGGGCTAAAAGGAGAGCATTCTCAACAGTAGCGCCTAGACTATGGAATTCACTCCCCAGGGATATCTGCCTGTCACCTACTCTTCTTTCTTTTATGTGCCAGATGAAAACTTCTTTACTTAAATAAGTTTTTGATTAATTTAATTTAATAATTTAATTTAATACATTTATATCTTCTTATGGATTCTTTATCTTAATTTAATTTTGGTTAATTTATTGGTAGTGTTTATTGGTGTGTGTGAGTATATTTTATTAAGAGGTGTTATCTATTATTTTAATGTTTTACCATTTTATTTGATTAATAACAGTTTTATTGTAATGTATGTATATTTTTAAGCTGGTTTAGCACTGTAAGCTGCCCAGAGTACCTTTGGGTTATGGGGTGACTTAGAAATGGAATTAAATAATAAATAAATAAATGCACACACTCTGTGCACACCATAGCCTGTTCTGTGAACAGCCCCACTTTCTGAATATAAGTGATATTACATAATTTGGTGTCTGTGAAAGGGAGAAGGTGAAGCTCTCAGAGGGAATGCAAATCCCACCCTGGTGACTGAGCATTGACTGGGGAGGGGGTCAATGCTCAGTTTCATTTTTATTTATTTTGTTTTTAGAATATTACTGGACTCAGTGGGACTTTCTTGGGACATGGACAAAACAAAGAGGAGGAAAAGAGAACAGAATGGCCCTCTTAATTTAGGTCATTTTCTGGTTCAGGTTAAAGAATACTTTTGAAATTTCCCACTGGGAAGGGGACTGAAAGCTATCTGTGGAAATACATGGCTAAATCCAAGATTTTGGTATAGCAGTGTACAGGGCACTCAAACAAAAGGTATCAGCAAAGAGAGAGGTTCCTGCTCTTGTAACTCAAGTCTCATTTAAAATGACTTTCTTCCAATTCATTACCCTACCAGTTCAAATTCCAAGGCAAATGCCATTCATTATCCCCATACTACAGGCTGGAAAAGTCTGTGGCTGGGAAAGAGTGGGCAGGATGGGAGCCACACTGAACAGATTTACAATAACTCTTTAATGTTGCCTACATTGCAAGCTGGGCTGAGAGAGTGTTGTATGACATTACTGCAGTGTAGTTTACTCTTACAGCCTTGTTACTGCTTGGAGGTAAGAGAGTTGCTCAGAAAAAGAGGGAGGGAGGGAGGGAGGGAGAGGGAGAGAGAGAAGCTTTAAGCAGCCTTGCAGTCATGTGAATGTGACAAGTTAGAGATGGAGCAGAGTCTTTTTTTGGCCTCTTGACCCCCCCCAAACTCAGGTTGTAGCACAGCCCAATTTATTAAATTATCCTCCTGTGTCATTCCTAGCATTCAGCTACTGGGTTAAACTGAACCCATGTCTTCTGGACTAGCCACTCTCATCTACAGGACAACTTCTGGACAAGAGCAGTTCAGGAGAAATTACAACAATATGGATTCTCCCCTCCAGCTTTGTTACATCTGGGATTTTCAAGAGCTAAAGATATGATTAAGTAACAAGTCTGGGATGTAGTTCTGCAGGAAGACAGAGCAAGGATTCAAGCTGGCAATCATAATAAAGATTTTGTTCCCATGGACTAGTTTTATGCTCTTGAAATTTCTAAATATTATGAAGCTTTTACCTTGGCCCTTTTTAATATTCTACTGTCAGCTCTTTTGGAAGGGAGATCCTTACAAATTCCTTATTCTCAAAATTTCTCCCTTTCTCAATCTAGCATGGTTGAAACATTCTATCATACTGTTATTTTATAGGGACATTTCTTCCTATTTCATTGCCTCAGTAGTAACAAAATGTCCAGGTAGAGCCAATATTATTATATTGCATCTATATCCCCCTCCCCCCGCTTTCTTCCTCTTGTAAGGAATCCAAGCTTCATCTCCTCTTTATTTTATCCTTACAACAGCCACACTGTGAGCTTGATTAGACTGAGAACCAGCTCAAAGTCAACCAGTGAGTTTCAAGGCATGGGGGGAGTGGAACACAGATCTCCTGAGTCTCAGTCCAGCACTTGTAACCACTACACCACATTGGCTCTCAATTCTCAGCAATGAGTTTATTGTCAAATTGGCAAAATTCTGTGTTTGGGTATACTCTGTTAGGGAGCAGGTTGTTAAACCTTATTAGCTGCTACTAATAGATTGCCATTGAAGTTAGTTCAGTTTTGTATATGCTAACTGATTTTATGTGACCATAATTAAAATAAACAAATTATAATGTACAACACTTAGTTGCATGGAGAAATCTCATGCTCCATTAATTTGTATGCAAATTGACTATGTTTTTCAAAAATATAAAAATATAATTGTGTCAATGAGAAGAACCCACCAGAAAAAAAAGGACAAATATTGTCTTTGCTGCTGCCTTTTTGTTTTTGGTGGAATTGGTGCTGTCCAGTCAGAAATATAGTGAAACCTTGAATTTGTCCCTTGATTTTTACAATAGAAATTACGCTGTGGTGCTGAATTTGGTTCAGAATTTGGATCAGCCAGTATGCTATCAAGTGTGTGCCTGCCCAGTACAGACATGCATATTGTTACATTTCTGATTTTATATTTGCAAGACTTGTTTTTATATGTAGCCATTGTTTTAGTTTAAATGGGTACAGGCAGTTAGAGGGTGAGGGGTAGTTCCAAGGAAGAACACTGTTTCTGTTGTCCAAATCCCCTGCCCCTGCAAATAGAGTAGTCCATGTTTGTTATGTATCACTTCATATAGCAATGTTTTGGCAATTTGGATTTCAGCCAACACTCTTGTCAAGTGAGTAAGCAAGATACAAAATGATAGCATTTAAATATTACTGCTCAGAACCATAACATTTGCAGTGTCCTTAGGAAGGAAAGATTTCAGCAGGTTTAGAACAATGGTTTTCTAGTTTTCTTGTTGAAATAATAATGCTGTGCAGACATACTGCTGCAACATAACAGGGTGGCAGACTGTTTTATAAGGGCAGAGATTACAAAGGTCCACTTTAACTTTTTTTTCCTTCCTGGCAGGTGTCCCACTGGCCTGAGGCCAGAGGCTGTGAGCATACTGCAGCCTGTGGTTTACACCAGAATGCAGAGCCGACACTCCAGCTGGCTGCACATAATTACAGTGATTGCAGTCTGACAACTGGAGTTACACTACAGAAATGTGATAAATATTAAAATGTATTACCAGAATGAACCACTTATAAATATATCTACTTTCCCCTCTTTACAGATATGATATCTGCACATATAAAAACAAGCCTTGTGGAACACTGGGTAAGGTTGCAGAGTGTAACCTAAATTAGTATTTATTTCTTGAATGTTTCAGTAGATTTTATTTCTTGGGATGGTTTCCTCACATTCATATGTTTATGTAGAAATGGATCTTGAAATATATTTCTTCTAACAGGAAGCAATATTTCAACTAAGAATGGGTAACTTTTGCCCTCCAGATGACCAGCTCCCATCAGTCTTAGCCAGTATAGCTAATGATGAAGCAGGATGGAGGCTGTAGGCCAAAATTTCTGGAGGGCTGCAGGATGCCCACCCCTTTAAAACTCTACATATGGATGTTTGTGACATTCGCATACCTTTAAAATTGTAAAAAGTGTTCAGAATAATAATTAAAAGGAATGAGAATGGAAGAAAAGCACATCATGCTTTCTTCTTGCTGAAGATGCTGTTAGTTTTGACATAAACAAAGAGGAATCATAGAGAAAAAGTAAACTAAAAATGTCACTTGCAAAAATCTGGTGTTTAAGGCAGGCGGGAGGGAATAATTTCTCTGATTATCCTTCATGAACTGGACTGGCTTACTGCCAGCCTTCCCCAATTCTCTGTTATAAAGTTGCTTGTGTTGCACATTTTAAGTTTTTTGTGTGTTTTTAAACTAAAACTTGCTTTTGTTGTACTCTTAATCTATTAAGTACATTGAAATAAAGATGTAAAACCTTCCACGTCCCTTTCAAACTACTCAAAATTAATTTGCAGCATTGGGAAATGTTAGGTTTCCTTTATGAGTGGACTCAGCTAATTTGATTCAATCAGTGCTCAAGTGGTTATATAGCATCAATCCATTAGGGCTCCTGAAAAGTGAGACTATTTATTTATTGATTGATTTCTATACCTCCCATTAACAAAGACAGTTCTGTGGGCGGTTTATATGCAGACTATATGCAAAGTATCTGCATATAAATATTTCATAATAATATTCTATTATTTCTAAACATTTCTGAAGAAAATACCAATACCAAGCTTTTCAGTGTCTACCACTTCTGGTTTTAAATTTACAATACAATACAATTTATGTCTTTTCTTGAAATTACATTTGTGGTCATCAGGCATTTTTGTTTCAATATCAACTGATCATAATGAGATAAATGAATATGCTGCTAGGCAGATTGTTTTGTGTGTGTGTTTTTAAGTTCTCATTTTCCTGCATGGGGAGTCATGTAAGGAGGTATGTGAATGAAGACACTTTCATGGAATAACCTTCACAGCTGTATTATAGCTTCAGGGAATCATTTTTCTTCTATTATATATCTGTCTAGCACCTGATACTTAGACCAGGTGCTGTGCTCTGTTTTTGAACTTTGTTGTCTTTTCAAATCTAAAAGCATTGTCCTGAATAATAAGTTATTAGCTTGGTCTTATACCCTGTCTTAAGGTATTAACTGTGACTTAAGCATCAGTCCTCCTTGTGCATAGACAAGGGTCCACAGATTGTCCCTGATGGGTCTCTCTATATGCAGTGAGCTACAGAAATTTCTATTGCCACTCTGTCTTTCCTGTTCTCAGCAGCAAAAGATACTGAATGCAGGTGTTGCCTCCCTTTCCAGCTAATGATGGCACATGAACCATCACTGCCTACCACTTTCACATCCCTTCCCCAGGCTGTGGGCAGACAGCAGCTGTAAGACAGCAGCAGTTCATGTCAAAGTTTGTGAACATGCACACATTGCTATAACCCCTTTGTAGCTACAGTTCTAAATTTCATGTACATCTCATTCATTACCATTATTTTTCCTGGTATACAACAGGGTGCAGGACAGTAGCTTAAATTTACAACAGGTCATAGAGCAGTAGCCATATCTTAGTGGCAGAACATATCTTTCATGCCAAAGATTTCAGATTCAGTCCTTTGGCATTTTCCAGTTAAACAAGAATCTGAGAAAAGGGGTAGGACATGGTTGAAAGCTTGAACAGCTGCTATCAATCAAAGCATATAGTAGCGAGGTAGCTGTATAAGTGAGTCTTTTGAATGTGATGCTTTGGGTGATGACATACCTTATTCAAATCCATTCCTCCAAGTATTTGTGGTCTTCCTCTTGTGCATGGCCCAGTACTCCAAACAACTGGAACTCAGAGGAAGTCCATGAAAAATTGCAGACCCCTAGCTGTACAGCACACAATCTTATTCCGTGTCAGCTGCAGCAGTGAAAAGGTAGCTGCAGCTGGTGTGGAAGAGCACTGCTTTCCTGGCAAACCCATTATGATCAGCCTTCTTCAGTGTGAATTATAGCCACTAAAACTGAAGCATAGTTTGCATAGCTCATGGGGCCCCATTTCTGGAAAGAGCCCCCATGGATGCTGGGCACACTCACCAAGATCTTAGACTGGGCAAAGCAGGCTAGAGTCCAGGGAGTCAAGCTCAGGGAAGGTGACACATTCCCACCCTGAGAAAGATATGTCACACACTCCTATGCTATGGTTCACTGTTGCCTGCATAAGATTCTGGCCCATGCTATCTTCTCCTCTGTCATCTCTTGATAAAGCTGTGATGAAGAGATGAAAAGTTTTTTGTGTTTGCCTTTAAAAATGATTTTCCTGTTATATCCAGACATAATGAACTCTGATTAGTTTAATCTATAACTTGTTCAAACAAGCCACAGTGAAACTGTGATTTATGATCTTTGCTTTTCACTGGCCATAATTTAAACTAACAAAGTTCACTGAGTTCAGATTTAACAGGGAATCTGTTTTTTTAAGCAGAAGTAGATTTTCTGATACTTTTTTTGCAGCTGCAATAGGGAAGTGGGAAGCATGCGAATCCAAGACTGTGCATGCAGTGCTAAACCATCACTTAGTATTATATCTGAAGCAGATCAATATTAAGCAGCTTCATATGTGTTAACTTTGCATAACTTTGCAAGTACCTCAACTTATTGCATAGAAACTGAAGAAAAAGGCACCTGGAGTTATTTAGCAAGTTTAACTCCTTCAAGGTAGTTTTATTTTTAAAAATAGCTCAGGACATGAAGGCTGGATCTGCAACTTCCTTATGTCCCAGCATGGTGCTTTAAGTGCAAACATAAAAGGAAGCAAACAATAATGTGAAATAAAAGTTGAAAATACAACATTTCTAACAAAAATCTCTGTAGGTTCATCTCCCCAAAATTAATCTGCTTTTTCATAATCCCAGCTTAATTTACGTAACCACAGCAATACTTTAAATCAGGAGTAGTTTGTGGAGGATCCTTTGGGATTTTTCCATATGAAAGTATACTCAGTGTCTGCTGAACCATCACCTTTTTTTTTTCTTGCCTCTCTGCCTTGCCCAGTCTTAGAGAAGAAGCTCAATCAGAATCATGCTGGATATTTTCATTGAAGGTTCCACCCTCACTGGCTTTTACTTTAACTAATGCTACTCACCTCCCAGGTTGGCTGAGCTACAGGTACAGGTCAGCTGAAAAGAGCTGTTTCTTTTGGGGCTAGACTCTCTAGCTTATCTCCTCCTATCAGAAGCATAGTCCTTTAAAGAAGTATTCACCACCATCCCCCCTTTGACTGTTCCACATCTGTTACAACTTGAAATTGTAATGGATTTAATTGCCATTGTTACCACCTGATGTACACAAGATAATGAACACAGCAAAGTGCAAAATATGTTTATTGTGGCACAAAAGTTAATAAAATAAAAATCTGTCATTTACTGGTTGCTTATGTATTCACTTGCTGAGTCAATACTAGACAGAAACACTTCTGGCAGCAATTAGAGCTGCAAGTCTTCTTCAGTAATTTCTGTCAGGTTTCTGCATCTGGACCCTGCAATATGTGCCTATTCTTCCTGGCAAAACCAGCTCTGTCAGGATGCATGGGGACTGTAGGTGACCCAAAGCTTTCAAATCCTGCTACTGTTTCTCAGTTAGATTGAGGTCTGAATTTTAAATGGACTAAGGGTGTGTGAGAAATCTGCACTGGGAATGGGAATCTGTTTGAATCCCTGAACTCCAGCATACTTTTTGAGTCTAGCTTGATGCCAAGTGTGCCATGCACTCATGTAGGTACCCACATATGGAATCAAGCTCACACAAACACTGTGCAAACACCATCACTCTTTTGCGCACATCACTTGTGGGCTTTGTGCTGCACATGTTGCAGAAGAAGGATGCTGGGTTGCATAACAGGAGTTTAATGAGTGTCCATGAATTTCTTCACAGCTTTATTCACTTTCTAAATGAGGACTGAGCATGAGAAGGACATCCAATGAACAAAGAGGGTTGGATTCCAAAGGGATCATCACAACCCTAGACTGGACAATTCTAAGATGTTCAGGTTTTTGTTTTTAACCACTCCAGTGTTATTTTGGCTGTGGGTTGGAGTCACTGTCCTGTTGAAAGATAAACATCTGCCCTAGTCCCAGGTTCCTTGCAGACTGAAAAAGGGTTTCCTCTAGAATTGTCCTATATTTGGCTCCATCCATCTTTCCTCAGTCCTGACCAGTTTCTCAGTAGCCTCCAGGGAAAGCATTCCCACAATATGATGTTGCAACTACCGTGCTTCACCATGGGTATGGTGGACAGTATTATTATGAAAATGAGCACTATTGGCTTTGTACCCCTCATAGAATTTTGTAACAAGGTCAAAAAGGTCAATGTTGGTCTTATCAAACCAAATAAACCTTTTCCACATTCACCATGTCTACCACATGCTTTTTTTCGTTGTTGTTGTTGTTGTTGCAAATTCCAAATTCTTGTCACTCTTCTATAAAGCTCAGCTTTGTAGAACGTAAAGTGAGTATTGTCTCATGGACTTTACCCATTTCAGCTGCAGATCTCTCCAACCTCTTCAGAGTTACCATTAGCCTCTTGATTGTTTATCTAATTCCCTCCAAACCTGATTACTGAGTCTTGTGGGGCAGCTGTCTCTAGGCAGGGCCGTGATTGATGAATATTCTTTCCATTCTGTAATGATGGATAATGGAGTGCTCCAGGGTATGTTCATAGTTTGGGATTTTTAAAAAATGACCAACCTTGGTTGGTATTTCTGTACAATTTTATCCCAGAATTGTTTTGATAGCTCCTTGGTCTTCATGATGCTTTTTGTTTATTGTAGACATGCTCTCCAACAAACTCTGGGGCTTTCCAGAAACAGGACTATTTAATCTGAGATCATATGACACTGGAATTCCACATAGGTGGACTCCAGATACTTACAGTAGGAAATTTCTGAAGGTAGTGGATTCTACCAGAACTTAGTTGGGCATGTTGCGGCAAAGCGTGTGAATACTTTTGCAACCAGTGGCAGTTTGTTTTTGTTTCCTCAGCCTTCTGTCACAAAAATATTTTGCAGCTTCACAGTGTTAAGTACCTTGTGTAGAGCAAATGTATTACAACAAAATGTGGAAAAGTCAAAGGAGAGTGAATACTACTGCAAGGCATGGTAAAGAGCAGGGGCACACATTTACAGAAGGCCTACAAGCAACCTAGTTACAGTATGTGTATAATGGCATTGCATACTTTATATAAGAAGTTCAGAGGAAAGGTTCAGTCTGCTAGTTCCTGTTGCTATCATTGACCAGTCAAATGTTAAAGCCCACAAGCAGGGTAGAAAGACAACAGTACTACTATGTTGTTTGTCCTCTTGAAAGAGTAGTATTCAGTGGCATACCACTTCTGCACATTTTGTGTGCTATTTTGCTGTAGTAGATTGTAACAGTTCGTAGGCTTATTCTCCAGGAATTTACCCAATCCCCTTTTAAGGGTATCAAGCTGTGTGCTCCTATAGATGTCTATTGAGAAAACATCTAATGAAATTAGTTTTATCTCAACTATTTAAGATTACATTATAAGTCAGTAACCATGTCAACATCTTGTGGCAGTGATATCCATAAGTTAATAAATATTGTGTGAAGTAGTACTTTGTACGCTCTGAATTTATATGAATAATTTACTGGATGATCCCATGATCTGCTATGTTAGCTGCATAATTTATGAATTTCTTTTGTGTTCTTGTGTTTCTAAGCTTTAGAAAGAAAGTTTTAAAATGTTCTAAGCTCTTTACTCAGGGGCCTCTAATTTTCTGGGCCCATGAACACATTTGGAAAACTGCTGTGGGCACCAACATAAAAAGACTCCCACAAAATGACATATCTGGACAGAATCCTCAAGAATGAGGAGATATGTGGGTGGAAGAAGAATGTAATACCCACTTCTGCTACTTTATAGAATGCAAGGCAAATGATAAGAGGAGCATCCAATGTTGCTGGGGAAAAACAGGAAACAAAAGGCAGAGAGAGGCAGGAGCAGTTGAAGAGAGACTTCAGGAGAAAGAAAAAGAATAGCAAGAGAAGAAATATATAAAAGATATAAAAATATCAGAAAGTAAAAGAATAGTGGACACAAAGCTATAGTGCTGATAGAAAGATGTGTGACAAAAACTTCTGCACAATTAATAAACATTTATCGACACTACTACATAACCAACAGTGGTTATGGCTTAAGGTTGGATCGTTTCTGGGTTTCATTGTTGTCTGTTCTTCGTTATATTTATCAACTAACTGGTTGTATTAACTGATTTTAATCTATAAGAAATATTGTTTATAATCAGTAGAAGCGATTTTTGGTCCTCATGCAAAGATGAGAACTATTTATATTATATTTGACAGGCATTTGACAAGTGTCAAAGATAGTAGCTTGAAATTCAGAATAACAAGTTTGGAATACATTATTTAGTTATAATGACCGTAGAAGGAGTGTAATATCATGATTGTGTTGTCTTTAAATAGTCTAGAAAGAAAAACATGTTTGTCCCTATCAGAAATTGCCTATGATTGACTTATCAGAAATTGCCATTTTTTAAATATTTTCCACCTACATTACTTGAGCTTATTTTGTTTGTTTTCATTTTGTTCCACTTTAAAGTATGAAATTGTGCTCAGTAGGCATTATATAGATTATCAAATATATTCAGAGATAAACAGGCTGTCCTCCTCATCACTTGCCCATATATACTTGACTCTGGCTACTGAAAGCCAATTCCAATAATATGTACTTATAGTATTCCTAAAATACCAAAAGCCCAAGTCTTTGGGAGCATAAAAAGGATTTTCTGCCCATAACTGGAACAGCCACAGGTAATATTGCTGCATATGCTCTTGAATCACAGACATTGTAAACAGCAATTATAATGAGTAGAACAAAAGGCTAAAAGAAGGCTGATAGGGAGGAGGTTATATAAAAGGTAAGGGTTATATAAAAGATAAGAATCTTTTAGAAAAGATTGCAGTCTTTTATGGATTAAAACAATCACCTTGGTAAAAAGCTAAAAAACAAATGTAAACAAAGAGAACTAGTACGATCTGATCCCTTACGACACATCCATATCAAGAAGTAATGTGGCATATAGTGGTTTCCTCTTTTCATAAAGCATACATTGCCTTAACTGGCAAAAGTACCCTTTTTTCCAGCCTTGTTTTCAAGTGATATTTTCTAGGGCACATAATCCCTTAGGAGAATATTAATGATTTTTCCATATAAGAGTCTTCAGGGAGGAATATCTTAAAGGCTGTAACAAGTTATACGCCATCAGTATTGGTAACAATTCTTTTCTTGGGTACATCTTATGTAATATTGAAGGCATGCATCTTACCTGTAAATGTCTGAAGGGCTTCTCTCATTTTAGAAATGTTTAACAATATATATGTGTGTGCTCATTAGATTTAATTTCAGTAAATTGATAAATAGATGTCTCTTTGGTTTAGTCAATACAGTTTTATGTCTCATTCTCTACCACTGATGCATTTAGTTTTTTGTTTTCATAGAAATTCCTAAAAATATACCACTTGGGTTTTTTGTAGCTAAAAATGTTGCTTGTATGTTTTATGAACCCACTAAACTTAAACAGATCTCTTTAGAAAAATAATGTGGACACATTTTGCTTTCTGCAACCTCAAGAATGTTAAAATAGAAATGCTTGCTTGAACTCCCTATCCTGGCTCAAGTTACTAGGTGGTCCCAAGTTACCAGAAGTAAAATTTATAAATCTAACCCCTAGTCTAGACATTTTCCAGCAGTGACTGCAGTTCAAAAAATATTAATGTCTAGCCGGCAAAGTGAAATTCCCCCCAGCCAACTGCTGCTTCTATGCATGGAGGTTATTAAAAAGAATCCAGGCATTTATAGCTAGGGCTTTTAAGATTGAAACACCTTGGCATGACCCTTTGTGTCTCCTTTTGTTTGTTCAGGCTTGGCCTCTGTTGCTGGAATGTGTGAGCCTGAAAGGAGCTGTAGCATTAATGAAGATATTGGCTTAGGTTCTGCTTTTACTATAGCACATGAGATTGGTCACAAGTGAGTACATTTTGAAACCCTTATAAATCTTAGATTAATAGGCTCTATCCTTGTCTGTGGTTTTATTCTTTCATCTGTGCTGCTTATTCTATACATAAAATAATCCTAATGATTAATTTTAATTTACTTTTTTGTATTTAACTAATAATTGGTCTCAAAAGTTATGTTGATCCATTATTTACTCAAGATGGGTTGTCCTGATAGTTAAATCAGTATAGTATCACGAACCATGCAGGCTTTAAAGCAACGATTTGCCAGCATTACAATTATAGGACTTTATCCAAAGCTAGTTTCTCTCCAGTGGAACAGAAACCACTGGGAAAACAGATTCTCCCTCTCCCTTGCACCACACCTCCGAAATTTGTTTGGGGACTGTTTGGAGCATGCTTGCTTTTGAGGGGGCTGTACTAGGGAGGCGAGGAAAGGGAAATCCTATTGTGTGGGCAGACATCTGTGTGTGCAACATTGAATTTAAACCATAAAACTGAAACTTCATGTAAGTTTCACACTTGATGATGAGAACTCTTGTTCACCATTGTTTCCTGAGGTTGTATGTTGCTATCACACACACACATGTATTGCACATTCAAGTATATTAATTTCATACAAATATAGTTATTCCATGTTGGAAAATGTGTGCAAACTTTGTTTAGATCAGTAAGTTTATGATACTTCACTGAGTATCCATAACTATGCTATTAATATAGAAAAAGCACCAAGTTTGAACAAGTCAGGACCCAGGGCATGGTCTAAAGGCACATGAAGCACTTTGCTAAGGCTAACCAGGTCTACGTTTGGTCAGTGCTTAGATGGAGATTACCTGGGATCTTCGTATAGCTACCTTGGGTTCCGTGATGGAAGAAAGGTCAATATAAACTCCACTTGGGAACAGACAATTGCATTTTAGATGCAATTTAAAGAACATGTTTGTTTCTTTATCTTGACTGCTATCCAAAAATGCTATCTTTGTGCATATAAGGGGAACAGTTTGAAAACTGACTCCAGAATCAGTTTAGAAACTCCAAATCCACAGTTGTATTTTTGTTGAACAAGCCAAAATGTCACAAAATTGACATGCTTTCATATTCTCCACAACTCCTAATCGGACTGTTATGCAAAGCAGGGGATGGAGGAAGAGGAAAAACCAAAAGGAACAAAAATAGTCTGGGTGTTATAGCCATAAGGTCTGCATTTAGGCTCTGTTTCAAATTTGAGATTGAAGGCTGGTGGAATTAGCTGTTGCAGATATCAAGTTACACCTAGGATTCAGGAACAGAAAGGCAATGGCTGACCTCTGTTTTTTAAAAAACAAAGCTCAGCAGTTACTCAGTTCTGTCTGCAGTTTTAAGCAAAGCACCCCTGATTAGGCAGACAGCAAAATTAAAAAGAAACATATTAGGGAAATCAGGTATTAATTTTGGGAGATAAAAAGTGAGTGGTAACCAATTGTATTTATTTTGTATACTACAGAGGATATTTATTTGCTTAAAAGCATATAAAGTCTTCTTTTAGAACATGGACCTATTACAATTGGTTAGCAGCTTGTTCTTATATCTGGTCTTTAAGGATATTAAAAGCTGTGCAGCAAAGCTGCAATTAAGAGATACTTAACTCCCAGTGAACTAAGTAGGTCTCGTTGAACCCAACATGTATAGATTGTTCTGTGTGAGCTTTTCTGGAGTGAGCTTTTAAACCTGTCTTCCATCTTTGTTTATAAAACAGAATTAAGAAATAGTATGATTTCTGAAAGTAACTGTTAATAACAAACTGATTACTAATAACCATAGCAGAAGTTCGTAAAATTACTACAAAATGTTCCATTCCAAATAATGAGGCATTATACTCCTCACACAAGGGCCATGATAGTCCTCAGCTGAAAATTGGTATCACTATTGTAAAGGCTTAGTTGCTGGATCATCTAATTACAGGAACTGGTTAATTTTAAAATGCCCAGCATCATGATATGATTTTGAGCAATGGCAGTCTTAGCCTTGGCCTTCATCTGATGATGAATTAAACATGGCAATGAAACTAAATTATACCTCCCCAATCTCAAATTATCTCAGAACAATAGGTTTAGCATATGCTTTGCCACAAGTTTAGTTCTGTAAAAGTCAGGAACCATGAGACTGGTGGGAAGAGGGGGCTGAATGAGAATACAGTTTGATTCAACATCAACAACTCACTTCCAGCACTTTAGCCAGAGAGTCAGTTAGACAATGAGATGGTCGGTTCACTGGCAGAAATCCCAGTCTCTCCTTGGCCCCCAACACCAGACAGATGTATTTAATATTGTCAGTTCTTTAGATTAGATACATTGATTGATGGAATTTTATCATATCCCTGGCTACTAATCCAGCGCTATTGTCTAACAGAAAATCAGTCAGAATTATATAAACCAAAATGGTTCTCCTATTACCATATTCATTATTTATTTGATTTATACCTCACTTTTCTACCAAAAAAGGCAGCTTATGAAGTCAATTTAAAATAGATTAAAATAATAACAGTAATTAAATAAAAACAAAAACATAACAATTACAGAATAAAACAATACCAAACCCACTTCTTTCTTTAATGAAGTGGCATTTGCTTGCCATTAGAAGGCTGGCAGAAAATCTAGCTTCTCTTTGGAGGGAGTTCCACAGCCTGGAAGCAACTGGAAACAAAGGAAAATGTGTTTCTGATGGTGGCATTCTTGAAAGAAAAGCTTCTCAAGATCTTAAGGTCTGGGCAGGCTGATATGGGAGAAGGCAGTATTTAAGGGATCCTAGTCCAAAACTATATAGGGTTTTATAGGACATAACCAGCACTGCTCAGAAACAGAGCAGTAGTCAGTGCAGCTGCTGTAACAAAGGAGTCATGTATCGCTGTAACTGGCCCCACATCACTTTGGTCACAGATATTGAAGTTTCTTAACAGTTTTCAATAGAAGCGTTAGTTGCAGTAGTCTAAATGGATGTAATTAAGGCATGTCCAAATCAGATGCCTGTAGGAACTGGCTCAGTTGGTCCACCAGCTTCAGCTGTGCAAACACTGTGCAAACGCTTGCCAAAACCAAGCTTCCAGGTTCAGACTGAGTCCAAGAGTACACCCAAGCAATGAACCTGTCTTCAGGGAAAATGTAACCCCATCCGGTATAAGTTGAACCCCTTTTGCCTGATCAACTGACATCACAAGGAACACCTCTGGTGTGCTGGGATAAGCCTCAATTTGTTTCCTCTTATCCAGTTCAATACCAACATCAGGGACTGATTTAAAACCAGGACAGCTTTCATAGATTTAGATGAAAAGGAAAAATGGAATGACACTGAACCCCAAAACTCTGTAAAGCTTACTAATGGCACTGACCCCTCCCCCCACTCTGTACAATCACTCCCAACAGTTTCATGAATATATTAAATAACATGGGGAATAAGATAAAATCCAAAGAAACACCACAGGCCAAAAACTACAGCATCAAAAAAGAATCCTCCGTATCACCTTCTGAGATTGCCCTTCAAAGAAGGAGCAGAACAACTATATGACAATGCCTCCCATGACAGACAGATGCCCCAGAAGGATACCATGGTTGATGGTATTGAAAGCTGGATATTTTTTATTTGCATTTTTCTGTATTTGTATTTTGTCAGATGGTACAAGCCAGTGCTTCCTGGCAGATATTGAATATAAGGGTGGACACCCTTGGCGGGTGCTACTTTCCAATGGGAAAAGCATAGAAAGGCTTCCATTGGTCCACACTTATCACCTTGGATTTGCATATAGGATGTTCACCCAGGCCAGAAATTCTTGAGGAAAGCCAAATTGTGAATGTGTGGTAGTGATAAATGAACAGTAGATTTTATCAAAGACTTTTCCAGCATCTAGCAACAGGATGGAGGTTGGGGCAGGTGGCAGCACTGAATGTCACTGGGTCTATCAGTAACCTCCTGTTTCCTGCTCCCTGCCCATCTTGGTTGAGATGCATTACGATTGCTATTACTTCAAGAACTCTGTTAGCTAGGTCTGCAGTGAGGATCTTGACATCTATGCTGATCAGGGAGAGTGGTCTATAATTTATACAGGATCTGTGGTCTTTTCCAAGTTTGGGGATAGTTGAAATATTAGCACTTTGCATCATGGGCGTTAATGTGCTGATTCGAAGATACTTTGGTAGAGGTCCAAGAGTCTGTGTGTAAGGATTTCTGATTGGGCTTTGTACCACTCGATTGGAAAACCATCAGGGTCTGGAAGCTTTCCTGCTTTTGTGTTTTTAATAACTCTCAAGTTCCTCCTTTTGTAGGGGTTTTACTAGGTGCTCTCTGGGCTGCATATCTAGGTGGGGGAGGGTCAAATTGGTGAGGAAGGCGTCAACTGCTTCTCTGTCAGGGTCTTATCAGTTTTGAGGAATTCAGAATAGAATTTATAAAACTGCGCATTCATTTGTTGTGATTTAGTGAATGTGTTGCCTGCTTTGTTGTTAATGAATGGTATGTACTGTCTAGCTTGCTGTTGTATTAAGTGATATGCTAGGATTTTACCTGGCTTATTCTATTATTCCCCATAATGCTGGTGTAGGCAGGTTAAATAAAATTCTGCTTTAGAATGTATTCAGAGCCGCCCCGAGGCTTTGTTGTGATGGGGCGGCATAGAAATGTTTTAAATAAATAAATATTTGGTTCATTGCAGTTTAGTGTAAATGTTTGGGGGATGGGCAGGCTGCATATTAGGATAGCAGTGCTTTCACTTTTGGAGTTTGTTCTCCTGCTATATGAGAAAGCAGTTTGGCAAGGCTGTATACTGTCGCCCTGCCTGTTTAACTTATATGCAGAACACATCATGAGAAAGGCGGGGCTAGATGAATCACCAGTTGGAATTAAGATTGCTGAGAAATATCAACAACCTCAGATATGCAGATGATACCACTCTAATGGCAGAAAGTGAAGAGGAACTAAAGAGCCTCTTGATGCAGGTGAAGGCGGAGAGCAGAACAGTTGGCTTGAAACTCAGCATTAAGAAAA